CATTAGGAACTGTAGTGCCAGGAAAAGGAGGAGTGAATTTGAAATGACGGAGCTCAGGGTTAGATGGGATATTGGGAAGAAATTCTTCCCTGTGAGGGTGCTGAGGCCCTGGTACAGAGTGCCCAGAGGAGCTGTGGATGTCACTTTCCTGGAAGTGTCCAACGCCAGGCTGGATGGGGCTTGGAGCAAGCTGGGAGAGTGGAAGGTGTCTCTGCCCATGGCCTGACCTCCCCCAAGCAGCCACAAGCCCACCATCCATCATATCCCACCAGTTCCTGCTGCTACAGCCAGCACTCCTCACCTTGTCATTGTCTGTCACCCACCCTCCCCGTGCTGCCTGCACGGCGCTCCTCCAGGGCCAAGCGGAGCCTACAGCTCACTCCTTTCTCCCTTCCAGCTTTCTCTGCCTCCCCAGTTTCTCCTTCGGGGTGGGCAGGGAGCTCTCTAGCGCTGACTAAATGCGGGTGAAGGTTGGGAGAGCTGCAGCACCCAATTAAAGGCAGGTTTAATGACAAGGATGTGTTACCACCAAGTGGGTTCAGCCCCAGCTCACAGAGTCAGCCACCTTGGCTGACTCACCCAGGAACGGCTCCCACCACTCGGCCTCTGCAGGACAAAGCTCAGCTTCCCTGCTTCCCAAGGCTTCCCTGCTCTTGGGAGGGAGAGGAAACGTGGGGCCAATGCTCTGCCCAGCCAGGAACATGCAGGTTTCACCTGGCAGCAGCCCCTGAGTGGAGCAGATTGAACAGTGACACCAGGGAAAGCTGTTTTTCGTAGCAGGGACAGAGTTCCCTGGAGAGCAGCAGTTTCCCAGCCCCGCTCTGCCTATTCGGGGAAGAGCCCAACACCCCACAGAGCCGAGCCCAACAGCAATTCCAGGGATGGGCTATCGGAAGTCCAGGCCTGACATCACGGCTGATTGCTTTAGCAGGAGCAATCTGCTCCCAGAGCACCCGGCCCTTTGAACGCTCCGCCATGGAGGCACGGCCACACCTCGGGTTCAAACAGACGCTGCCAGGCAGAAGGAGCTGTTCCCTGATAATTCCTCCTCCGGAGATCCCCACCCTGCCCTCGCAGGGAGCCATGGGCATGCGTCTTGTGGCCTTGCTCTGCCCCAGCCCTTCCAGCCAGAGATCCAGGCGCTCCAGCCCTTCCAAAGGTAATCCCTGTGGAGCTGTGCGTGCCAGAGTCAGCTCCCCATGGAATCGGGTACCCATGGGACAGGCCCATGAACAGGGGGAGAGCCCCAGTGCTGTCATTAGTGACATCACAGCGAGAAGCGATGCAAATGCATCCCTGCTCCAGCCACCTGTGCCCGGGATAACTCCACAACTCATCGAACAGGAGGCTGCTGAGCCCATCCCGGCTCCCAGAGCCACCACACTGCTCCCAGGAATGCCTCCCCGATCCCCCTGACATGTTGAGACCCTGCAGGACTCCCCAGCCCCAGCCCTGCTGCAGAAGCCCAGGCAGAAGCTGTCAAAGTGCAGCACAGTGTGACAGCATCTCTGCTCTGCAATCCTTAAGGGGTCCAGGAGAAACACAAAGAAAATCCACTCCAAATTCCCACAGACTGCACTAATTCAGGTCCAAATTCTCCCAAACACACATATTCTTTCCAAGCCATGCCCTTTCCCAGCCCTACAACCTCCCTACCTCTGGTCAACCAACCCTTTCCCTCCACTTTTGCCCCAAGTCCTTGGTCTCTCTGGCCACTTTGTCCCCATCCAGAAAAGCCACTCAGACTTCCCTGCTCCAAAGAGTCCCCAACTCATCTTGCTTACCTGTGGCCTACACGGGCTCTGCTCTTGCCTCCCATTCCTTTCCCTCTGCCAATTCCAGCCCAGCAACTCCTCCTCTCCTGCTGCTCCTCCAGACTTGCCCTGCTCCTTCCTCCCCCAGCGCCTGTGTCACTGCTCACTCCCCCTTCCCTCTCCCTCAGAAATTCCACCTGCTTTTTCCATCCCAGCACCTCCTTTTCGGAGCACTTTGCCAGTTCCACTCTGCTCAGCCACCTCCGAAGCAGTCATCTCCACTCTCCAGGGCTTCCCCTCCACTCATACAGGGGAGCTGCTCCTGTTTCCTTCATCTCCATTTCTGGGCATTTCTCTTAATTCCAAATTCCCTCCCTTGGGATATGTGCAAGCACGACTGCTGCCACCTTCCATTTCTTTGAGCCTGCGTCTTCTTTTCTTGGGTCAAGGCCCCGTAAAGCCTCAGTGATTTCCTCCTTTTACTCCCCTCCCAGCCCCGTGCTCCTCCTTCCCACCCCACTCTGCTCATCTGCTCCAGCCCCTCTCCAGCCTTTCCACACGTGGCAGGGTGCTCCATGGCTTGACCCTTCTGGAGCATGAGGCCCACCCCACGTCCACTGGGATGGGGACACGTGTCTCCAGTTCTCAACATTCCCTCCTCCCTCTCTTCAGCTCCTCACTCTGCTCCTGCCCAGGAAGGAGGAAATGCACCTCAGCATCAACCACACGGCTCCTGCCACTCCTGGGATGAACGACAAAGGCAGGACAGAGCTCCCTCCCTGTTACCGGCTCCCAAACCTGCGTCACTCGCCAGGATCCGCAGCTCTCGACCTGCCCCGATCCAGCCGAGTTCCCATGGCGCAGGGCAAACACACAAACAATTCCTTCCACGTGAGGCAACTCCCAGAGAGGGCAGATCCCAGGCTGCACGATGTGCTCTACCTGTTCCCACTTTGTTTTGATCAGCTGCATCCCAGAGCTCCATAAAGCCATTCCAGAGCTCGCTGCCTGGCACTGTGAGTGAGGGGCATCCACGGAACGAGGAACTTCCTCCTTCCTCTGCAGCTCCCTCTTCTCACCCTGTCCTTGCACAACCAGCTAACACTTCACACTCCAAAATCCATCAGACAAAGTGCAAACTTTCCCAAACCTGGCACTGTGGCCAGAGCAATGCCAGTGTGAGATCCCCACCGGTCACTGCCCTCTCAGGAGCACCTGCCCAAACAGGGCAGTCTGGGGACACTTCCCTGCTCTTAATTCCAAAAGAGGACGCACAGCAATGCATGTTTGGCCGCCCCTTGGTTCCAGGTGCATCCTGCACACCTGCCCTTCTCCCAGGTGGATGTACAGAAGGATCAACACAGAACATGGAGAAATATTCCACTGAAGACAGCCAGAAGGCTGCAATCACTCCGTGCTTATCTCCTGCCTGGGGCTTACACCGCTCCCAATCTCCTTCCCCAGCCCATCCCACTGGTTTACACGGGATTAGCCCCATTTTATGGGCAAAGCAGGAGGAACAATGCCTCATCCATTGAGGCCGTGTCCCAACGGGCCCTACAGTGAGCAAGCACAGCACCAAGCCTCTTGTCACTGTTAGGAGACACCGGGCACAGCGACAGGTGGGAATGTCCCCAGACAGGCCCCCGACAGGGGAGTTCAAGGTCTCCCCTCGGACCCACCCAATCACCACCCTCTCCATTCCCAGATGGGGCTCCTGGCCTCGGGAACCAACAGGAATAAACGCCCGCTAAAGCAGCAACTGGGCCCGGCAGAGGGATGGTGGTAACTGGATTAAGCTCAGAAAGAGGCTCCAAGATAACTCTGGCTTTGATCGAGACAAGGCCCTGGTTGTACTTTACATGTCCCAAAAACCCGAACAGCCCCTAATGCAGAGAACCCCGCTTCCCTAATGCCCAAATCCAGCTCTGTGCCGGGGCGGGAGCCGGCCGATCCGGGGGAACCACTTCCCAGAGCCACAGGGAGCACAAGGACAGCCGATCCCCTCCCGAATCGGCGCCGTCAGCGGGGTGGAAGCCCGGGGCTGGGGACCTGCACAGCTCAGGTGTTTGGGAATCTGGGAATTCTGAGGAGAGGCCAGGCTGGACCCCTGCCAGTGCCCCCCAAAGCCGGGAGCAGGGGCCGTGCCGTGAGGAGAGGCCGCGTTGTAAGCAGGGGTCCTCCTTCGGCCGCGGCACAGAGGCCGAGCTCCGGTGCCCCAGAACAGTGCGGTGACGGCGTTCCCGGGGGCACCGGGGACAGGCCGGGTGCGGAACGGCGCACTTGTCCCCCGGGCGCTCCCTGCGGCAGCTCCGGCCGCTCCCCGGCCCCGGGCGGTTTCCAGCCGCGGGGACGAGCCCCGCTCCGGTGCGCTCACCCCGCATCCGTGCGCAGGGGCGGCCCCAGCCCGCGGGGCACCGCTCCCCGCCAGCCCCGCACCGCCGCTCCCGCAGCCCCCGGCCCGCCTCCCCACGGCACGGGAGAAGGTCCCGGTGCCGGCGGGGCCGCGGGCACGGCAGCCGGGGCAGGAGGAAGCGGCGCTCCCGTGCAGAGGCACCGCGGCCATCGGGCAGGCGGCGGTGCGGAACGGCGGAGCGGGGCCGCGGCCAGAGGGGCGGGCCGGGCAGGGGTCGGTGCCCGCTGGGGCGCCGGGCGGGAGGATCCGCAGGGCGGTCGGGGGACACTGGGGCGCAGCCCGAGCCGCGCGCGGGGGGAGCCGCGGGGGCAGCGGCGAGGCGGGGGCGGTCGCGGCCGGGCCCCGGCGAGGAGCGCGAGGGACCGGCGGGCCGGGGAGGCGGCGGCGGTGCCGGAGCGGCGGGGTCCCGACGGGGTCGCGCGGCCCACGTGACTCACCGGCAGGAGGCCGCGCGCGGCGGCGGCTCCGGGCACGGACGGCGGCGGCTGCGGCGGGCGGGACGTCACGCGCGCGCGTGCGCACCGCGCCCCCCCGCGCGCCTCCATTGGCCGCATCCCGCAGGCCCGCCCAGGGAGCGGCGACGCGCATGCGCAAGACCGCGGGGCGGGCGGGCGCGCTCACGCCGAGGGGGCGGGGCCAAAGCCGGAGCCCCGGCGCGTGCGCGGGACGTACCACACCGGGGGCTGGAGGGGGCGGGCGGAGGACGGCCGGGCCCGGGCTCCCCCCGTGCCCGGAGTGCGCGGGGCCCGCAATCCCCGCTCTC